GGGATGTCAGTTATCTGTAAATTATATCATCGTTTGCTAAAATGCACTGGGCTAAACCTTGAGTCTTTCAAGTATTTAAACACAATACCTGCTATTTATTTGCCTGTTAATTTTCTTAGAATCTGCTTTCTACATGTATAGTTCAAAAGCAAAATGATCATTATCAGTCAGTGTGATTACAGACTGCAAGGTCGTGGCATTCACATGTGTGAGATTTCTCCCATGACCTGCTTATTTGTTGCTCTGGACCAACTACTTTATAAAAAGTATGCCAATCATGTATTCCCCCTGCTCTGTAAGAATTCTAAAGGCAGTTTTCTCATTCAGTGGCTTCACCATAGAATGGATCCCTCAAATTCAACTCTAGGAGTTGACATTGGACCCTTCTCTTTCTATATCTAGTTACCAAGTCCAGTTGAGGCTCTGTTCAAACTGTATCTCAGATTTATTCTTTTCCATTGTCACTTCTGCCATGCTAAAGGATTAATAAATTTTGTTTGTCTGAAAAAAGAGATGGTGAGAGACAATGAGAGTGTTGACAAGGGCAGTGGATAAAAGGTCTTGGCCCAAGCAGTGCCAAAGCTGGCATCTTCCTGGTGGCACCAAAGGCTTCATTGCTGGTCTGTAGCAAAGCAGGAATCCCCTTTGGGAGTCAAAATATCTCAAAGACAGAAAAACAGACACAGGAGCTGTGAATAATGAAAGTCTTGCAGGGCTGAATCCAGAAAAGAGATGATGCCTGTGAGTGAGGAAGGGGCTACAGGTCCCCTGGGGCTCTCTTCATGCACACATACGTGAACTGGGTATCCGCAGAAACACCCTCCTAACTGGAGGGCAGCTGATCACTTCTGCAGCAGTCGTTGGTTTTAATATCTATGTCCTAATTTATTGGACATCTGCAGAACAACCAAAGAAAATATTCAAGTACGGCATGGGCAATCTGGCTGCTTTCTGAGTTCATCAAATATCTCACACTCCTTTTTCAAATGTTTTCAGTTTTGCAAAACTCAAAATGCATTTTGCCAAACATGTTCTCTGTTAATGTTTATTTAGAAGGGAATTTAATCCGTATGCTGCTGATGCATTTACACTTAACTCATCAAAATGTTTTACTAGAGTCATTTGATGTCCAAGAAACCTTTTGAGTCTTTTTTATAAGCCTCTTCAAGCCCATTTTGCTTCGAAACAGGAAGTCGCCTGTTACTAACCATAAACGAATGCAATCCCCAGAGGATTTGGTTTCATTTAAGACACCGAGAGACCACAAGTTCTCAGCCTACCCTGAACTCCACAGAAAAGATTTTCTCCTGAATCTACTGAGAATGGGCCATGCACAGATGAGGTGCTGTTATTATTTTCCAAAACAAAATCCGTTATGAAGAGGCATCTTTCATACAACTCCTGGGAAAGACGGTTACCAAAGCAGAGTACTAAATCATTGGCTTTGCGGGCTGCACCTGGTCAATGTAACTGTCTCCCACGATCCACTTACCATTCAGAGCTCGTTTGCTAGTATTAATAGAACAAATAAAATGGAATGGGAGATAAAGATACCAGGATAGTGATTTCTTGCTTCAGGAAAACCGTCCTGGGTTACAGACCAATACAATGTTCCCAGCCATGAGCCAGGGAACCAAAGCTGATATATACACAGCATCCAAGCCACAGAACATGACTTGTTTAAGGCTTAATTCTGTGAAGTAAGGCAGGAAACAAGATTTATCCTTCTGGGAAACTTTTGGCATTTGCCTCGAGCTGGGCCTGATTACTCTCTGCCGTCCTCACCACCCATTACAGCTATCTGAAGGAAATCAATTTTTTTGCCCAAACTAAGGCAAAAGAGAAACATCTCCATCTGAGTCCCATAGAAATCCTTCTGTTTGACGTGGCATTAAACAATGGGGAGCGAGCGGCCCTGTTCTGTGAGGATGGGCTGCTGCTATCTTAGGCCTTTTGGCTGTGAAGGGGAGTGAAACGAGTTGGGCGAAAGCCATTTTACAAACATAGTAAAAATAAATTTACTACACTCAATAATTGAATCTTAAACTTGTCACTATGGCAGACTCCAAGAGCCTTCACTGGGACTTGGCAAAAGCCGTGGGTGCTGGAGGTCAGTTTTCATGTATGAAATCCAGCTTAGGTTATAACTGCACAGGGCTACAGAGTAAACGTTCAAAGGATGAATGGGCCATTGAGAAGTAAATCTGACTCCCCAGACACTTAAGTAAGTCCTGGAAGGGTTTAAGCCATCAGTTTGGTGGGCTACCAACAAAATTGGCCTATTAATATGAGAGAATTTGAGGTTGTTAATACCAGGCTTTTTTTTTTTTTTTTCTGTTTGTGTGTTGTGTGTGTGTGTGTGTGTGTCTATAAGAGTTTGTTTTTTAACGTGTCTTTATTTTCATGTCGCTTTAGTTGTATTAAGTGCACTCTGATTGGGCAGTGAAAGCTGTGTGACTTGGTCGTTGGCCCACGCTCTGACTCCTGGGCACAGGACTGGAGTGTTTACACTGGAGGGGAATGTTCAGACTCTGACCCAACCAGGAGACATTTCGGTTAACATCTGGCTTTGCTTACTTGTCCTAAATATTAAATTATTAATGGACTATTAATATTAGACCATTTCATTGGTTCATTTTTTTTTCTCCTTAAAATCATATTTAGAGACCACTTCCCTTAGAATAAGGTTTAAAACTCTCTCCTAGTTTCTTTCGGAATTTGGCATCTGTAAAAATCTTCAGGGGACTCAAGCAAAAGAATTACCAAAGTAACAAAGACCCAAAACTAACCCATTCTTTTTAAGTTAGTTTGGGAAAAATGAATTTGTTCATTACTCAAAGTGAAGTGGTAAAAAACTTTTGTATTCAAATACTAGCATTACTGCTGATCGTTCATAAGGCCCTGAGAAGCCACCTGCTTTGGTAGCATATGTACCTGAATATACTGCCCAGAAATAAATATTTTACGTTTTTATTCATTTTAGTATCATGAATTATTTTTTGAATGAGGTCTAGACAGTCACAATTGCCTAATTAATTTAGGTGAGCTCACCTGTGCTTCAGAGCGAGACATATATGTATTCATTGATTCAATGCCAGTCTTCTCTTGCCAGAGTAGGTCATGGAAACATCATGCCTAATGATAGAAATGGCCCCAACTGGGAGACCATTTTACTGAATTTACCCAGTTCATCACCACACACATGCTTATAATATTTAAATGGAACAGTTTCAGAAAGTACCTAAGTGCTTTGTATCATGGCATATGTGGTATATATTTCACTACTTGGGTATAAATTCTTAGGAAATGGTCCCCTTAGTTTTGAAGTGCTTTCTGTTTTCCAGAGGAATCCACAGTCTCCCCATGGGCTCCACTGGGAATTCAAACTTGAATGGGTCATTTTGTCCCCATATCCGCCGTTCCTCCTGAGTCCTCAGTTTTTTGTTAACGGTACAAAGATACTACTAACTTCCATATTTCCCAATTTGAAAGTGAATAAATTGTCTCTATTGCCTTGAATCCAAATATACTTTCAATATTCCGCTTTCCTTATTGGCTGGAACAACTCAGGAGGAATTAATCCCTCACTAGCATTATGAGGTCGGCAATGCATGTGCAGGAACTTTAACATATATTATGATTGTATGTGTACATACAGAGATGTACATGTATGGAATTCTATACTTTAACAATTGCTGTGAATTATAAACACACTCATAAAAGCAAACCAAGATCATTATTAACAAAAAAAAAAGTAAAAATAATGACTAAGTTGTATTTATTTAGGGCTTTGTGTTTTTACATATTTATTTCTAATCAGTTCTCATGAAATATTTATGATTATTCTCCTTTTTTCTTCCCTTCTCCTTCTCCTCCTTTTCTTCCTTTTTCTTCTCCTCTTTCTTCTCATTCTTATTATCTTACAATTTTGCCAAATAATATTTAGAGGTTAAAATTACTTAGGTGGTGAAGAGTGAATTTAGGCCTTGAATCAGGTAGGTCTGATTCACTCAAGCTCTTTTCACCAAAACCCTACCTCTCTGAGGTTTAACCCGTAATGTTTTTGTAGCTATTGTAGGGAAGGCATTCTGGTGGAATTAACCCCTTTGTATGCATACAAACATGTGGGTCCTGTTTATGAAGAGCTATGAGGAAAAAGAAAGTCAGTATCTACTTTTACTATATAAAGACAGATCCTGCAAAAATACTTCATAATACCATACAATCAGGGCAGCTTCTAGGGTGAGGCAAGAAAAGCATCTAGGGCACAAAGTTTAAGGAGGCATGCACTCTTGGGGTGCTACAAGTGCAAGACTCACACCTGAGAGCAAACGCCTCCTTAAAGATTTTCCCCCGGCACCTCACTTGCTCCCTCCTAGTCCTGGCCCTTCCTCTAGTTCCACAGAAATTAAAACCAATCAATGAGTGGTGTATTAAATATTTATTATGTGCTATAGGTTGAGGAAAAACTCAAAAACTTTTCCAATTATATTGCATCAGCTTGTACTGGAAGAAAATGTTATCCAACTGGAAAGATAAGACTTACACATGGGAAACAGTCAAATCAGATATATTGTTGACTCTGTAAAATACCGTGGTCCCGTGTGAGGTCACAGATGTCAGATTCAGGACGGTGGAAAATGGGAGACGTTATTGACCATGCTCTCAAGGATAAGCCCTTGTGCTGTAACTCACATATGGGTGGGTGAGGCAGGACCCTGCTGGGGAGACTATGGGACTCCAAGAAAGGCTGACTGACGTTGGCCGTAGGAAGCCATTTGTGTCTGAACAGGGGAGCAATGTGCAGAAAGCTCTGTGATGGATGATGCGTCCTTTTGCAGGAGTGGCCAGGGTGATGGACGGACGGTAGGTCCATCCAAAATAAGAATATTGTGTTAAAGTGGGGGCGCACTAGTTTAAATTTATTTTCAAGTGATTACTACTACGAAGAGGTTTTGATCTGTTACAGGGAAACTGGAGTTGGAAGAAAGGAAACGGAGCAGTTTCTTTGGGTGACTCTGGTATTCCAGACTAGATCACCAAGCCCTTCAAGGTCAGGGCTCAGAGCTCATTCTGGAATGTTCTATCTCTGTAGACTTTAGCAGCAACTGGGTCCATGAAAAACAGTTAATAAGGGTTTCACAGCTGTCTGCTTGGGAGAAAAGACATGGAGAGAAATTGAACTTGATTACCCAATGAGGAAAGGTCTGCGTTTGTTGTACTTTGCAATGTTTGGACTGATCTGAATGAAATTTCCAATGGCTAATTTCATTTCTAATCCTTACATGAGCCAGAAAACTCCACCTGCAAGGGAACCGTTTTTCATTGCCTTTCTTTTGAAAAAGCATTTCCTGTCAACAGGAGCTGCAGTAACAGGCAGGCACTGGTTACTTCTATGACACTGGTGGTTGCTTGGGAAGGAGGCCCAGGACTCAGGCTTCTGCAAAAGTTTTTGGCTTAGGGTCAAACCAGAATGAACAATTCAAGACCCACATGTCTCCTGATAGACAGATATCTGAGCTGGGGGCGCTGAGGCCCAAGACAGTTTACCAAGAAGGTAGAATTATGTAACCCTGTCACTCAACAGGGCTTCTTTCCAGTTCAAGGTATCCTGGGACTAAACAGTACACATAGCAACAGAACAAACTGAATGTGCACCCTCTTTGCATTGCTAAATGGAGCACACTCCCCGTGTCGATGCATACATCAACAAAAGCGCAGTGGAGCGACGCCTCATTTAGTTACCAGCGCTGGGGAATGGACTATTCATCATAGATAAACATTCCAAACAACTAAAGCCTATGACCTTAAGTGCCGAAACTTTTAAAAGTGTTAACCAAGTATGATGAAAATCCTCTGAACATTCGCTACTGTCTTAAAGACTGTACTCAGAATACAGTTTGACCTTGGAAATGTTTGTTTGGAGAAAAAAAACATGGAAGAAGGAATGGACAGACGCACCATTAGACCCGATGTTTTAATGCTGATGACTAATCAGGGAGAAACAAAGGCTTCTATACTTAGTCTTCTTTGCATTTTGAGAGGAGTCATTGGTGGACTGAAGGGGTAGTTTGGACACTGCTGGGGAGAAACTGCAGCCTTATTGTGGAGGGGGCAGCAGCAGGAGAATGCCGGCGCTGCTGAATATATACACACATCGCCTCACCTGATTCAGATCGGTTATGTCTCCTAGTAATAAAACAGTATGAAACTGAGATGTCTTTAAGGAGATTGGGGAAGTCAAGAGAAGTACCAAAATACTAGAAATAGAGCAAGTGAGCTAAATATCAATCTAAAGTAAAATTCTAGAAAAAGACATTTCTGGGCACGTGGATAAGGAATGTCATCCTCAAGGTCTCCTTGTCTCTCTGACCTCATGTCTGATATACTTACAAATCCTGTGAGCTTTATGTGCACAATTTATGCACAACTTGACCACTCCCCGCCTCTTCTCTGTTCCTTTCGTAGCCCAAGCCAACTGATACAGTAGATGAAATCATTGGCCTTGTCATCACTTCTCTCTGTGTACACACTTTCGCCATGGTGTTCTGATGGGCAAAGTCTACTTCCCTGCCCCTTGACTTTGAGCTCCATTGTGTGCCCTCCAAGAAAGGAAGCACGAGCTTGAAATGCACCTGTCAGTGGGCTTTCTTTCTGGCCTTTGCTGCCACATCAAGAAGAGTTTCCTCAGGCTCATTGATACACTCTTACCTGAGGTGCAAAACAGCATCATGGAGCAGACCTGAGGGAGATGCCCATCACAGTCAGACCCTGCAGCTTGAACGGGGCCCAGCCCAGCTTGGGTCAGCAAACCCCTAGATGACCCGCGGGTCCTTAAGAACCAAAGCTATTGTTTCAAGCCATTGCATTTTTGAATCGTTTATTATACAGCCATAGCTTACTGACTCAAGGCGATTATTATTGCATTATCCCTCAGCATCTCACCTTCCTTGTCCTGCTCTGCTGTAGAAACCCTGGTCTCATTGCTCTTCCTCCAGCGTGCCAGGCTTTAGTAGAGATCATCTCCACCGTAATGCTATAATTCAGTTTTTCTAAACTATTGTTAGTGCAGCCAAATTGAAAAAACATAATTAAAAAGTATGGGATATTAACTTAGAACAAAGATTAAAAATATCTTAGACACATAAAGGCAATTTTAGTAACTCGTTAGAAGGGACAAATTCATCCTATGAAGGTTTTTGAGGCAGCTTAATGATCTTTAGAAGCAAGGGTTCTGAAGCTGTGTGGCCTGAGGTCAAAACATGGTTCCATCAACTTACTGCTGAGTAACCATGGGCAATTATGTAACTTTTCTTTGCCTCAACTGGATTCTTTGTAAAATGGCCATAAAAATAGCACATGCTTCATAAGGTTGTTATATGGATTAAATTAATGTGAACAGTAAATGCAAGACCTGGCAGATAGCAGGCACTTGAAGAGCTGTAAGTAGAGTTTTGTTTGTCATTATGACCGCTACTGATGTTGTTACAACAATTATTCCAAACTTTGTGTATAGACTTTATACAGTCCTATGCAAAACGCTAGCAGGATTTTTCAAGAAATTTTACTGAAAATTTTATGAAATATCTACTTAAATTCTGAAATCATTGACTACATCATAATCATTGACAAAAAGAGTAATCAAACTATAAAAATTTAAATGAAAATGAGTTAAATAGTTTTCCCTGAAGATTAATAATTGTGTACTTAGGACACAGAATTTACAATAAATGTACAACTAGGAAAAATATTTGCAATCAAATATGACAGATAAATAATTAAATTTCTTTATAAAGAACTCATTCAGCTTATCTTAAAATGTAAAAATATAATTCACAGAAGAAAAAATACAAACGACTGAAAAGTATTTTTAACTGTACCAGTTTTATGAACAAGCAAAGAAATGTAAATTAACAAATAATCCTATTTCCATTCTTGCAAATCAAAATAATTGTAATAATAATAACAATAATAATAGTGAATAAGAGGAGAAAGATGAGGGGACTCAGTGTAGACGAGGGTGCGGTAAATTAGAGGCACTCGTGTCCTGCTTCTACGAATAGATATTGGAGCAATACTAAATTTTTAACAACGTATAATTTTTATATGTTTATTATTTTATATAATTTTTAAACAATTTAAAAATATTTTTAAATGTCCACTCTACTGATTTTACTTCTGAGACTCTAAGGGAAGAATCAGAAATGTAGATGACAAGGAATGTACAAAAATAGAAAAGAAAGCATTATTTACAGACATGAAAAGAATATGAATGAGGGATATTGTTAAATAAACTGTGGTTTTTTTATATAAATGGATCTTATGCAGCCTTTCAAATGGTATCGAGAGAGTTTTAGAAATATGTTTGTCATATTCTGTTGTAACAATAAGGTGTCATATCATTTAGACAGTACTGCGTATAAATATTATAGAAAAAAACAACTAAATGTGTTAACCTTAACACCTCTTCTACTGTTACATATATTCAAAATATCTGTTTCTGGAATTTTCTGGCAGTTCAGTGATTAGGACTCCACACTTCCACTTCAGGGGGCACGAGTTCATTGCCTGGTTGGGGAACTAAGATCCCTGCATGCCATGCAGCGTAGCCAAAATAATAAATAAATAAAAATTCTGTTTCTTTATGTATTTTTAAATTTTTAACTGTGACCAAAAAACCCATGTAACATGAAATTCATCAGCTTAAGCATTTTTACATGAACAGGTCAAAAATGTTAAGTATATGTACATTGTTGTGTAACAGATCACCAGAACTAATTCATTTTTCAAAACTGAAACGCTATACCCATTTAACAACTCCTCACTTCCCTCTCCGCCCAGCCTCTGATAACCAGCATTCTACTTTCTGTTTGACTATTTTAGATACCTCATTTTGGAATCATACAGTATTTGTCTTTTGGTGACTGACTTATTTCACTTATATAATGTCCTCAAGGTCCATCCATGTTGAGTATGTGACAGGATTTCCTTCATTTATAAGGTTGAATATTATTGCATTGTACATGTAGACCATGTTTTATTTGTCCACCCATCAAGGGACATTTGGGTTGCTTCCACTTATTGGCCACTGTGAATAATGTTTTCATGAACATGGGTATTCAAGTGTCTCTTCAAGACTCTGCTTTCAATTCTTTTGGATATATACACCCAGAAGTGGGATTGATGGATCACATGGTAGTTCTATTTTGAATTTTTTTAAGGTACCAGTTGTACCATTTCACAGCCCCACCAACAATGAACAAGGGTTCAAATTTCTCCACATCTTTGCCAGCACTTGTTCTTTTCTTTTCTCTCATCCTAACAGATGTGAGATGGTATCTCATTGTGGTCTTGATTTGCATTTCTCTAACAACTTCTGATGTTAAGTATCTTTTCATACACTTGTTGGCTCTTTATGTATTTTTGAACATGTCGAAGTGTTTATCATTAACATGTATTACTTTCGTATCAAACAAACAAAACACTATGAACACAATTAGGATCAGTTTTGCCTCCAGTTTTGTGACATTAGCAAGAGCAAAAAAGCTTTCTTTTCCTAGGTCCCCAAATCCCCACTTGTGAAATAAGGAGACTAGACTAGCTAATCCCACATATGACTTCTTTTGTTGTTGTTGTTGTCGTACGCAGGCCTCTCACTGTTGTGGCCTCTCCCGTTGCGGAGCACAGGCTCCGGACGCGCAGGCTCAGCGGCCATGGCTCATGGGCCTAGCCGCCCCGCGGCATGTGGGATCTTCCCGGACCGGGGCACGAACCCGTGTCCCCTGCATCGGCAGGCGGACTCTCAACCACTGCGCCACCAGGGAAGCCCATGACTTCTTTTTAATAAAGGAAATAATCTTTCCTCATTTTCTTCAGTGTTGTGAAAGTAGTTACATTTATAAATCTCCTAAATTTTGAAATGATTCTGAGAACAGGTGAATGGGTAAACTGATGATTTGGTCGTAGTTTTTTCAGAATTTCTTCTTCATTTAACATTTTCAGTGCTCCAGCTCTGTAGAAAGCGTTAGACCAGGGGCCAAGAATACAGAGATAATGCAGTCTGGACCCTGCCTTGTTAAGTTACAAGTCTATTTGGAGAGGCAAGCTTATAAGTAAATAATTACAATGCAGCTTTTGAAGCTGATATAATACATGTAAAAATAAGGTTCACTGGTGTTACAAAGCAGACGTCTGCTTCTAAGATGCTAAAAACGTGAAGACTCATCTCATAGTGGGAAAAAACTCGTAATAGCTGTCCCCCAGACCTTGGTGTTTACAAAATCCATGGCATTCAATTTAGTGAAAAGAAATGTAATATTTACCCAGCAAAGACAAAGCAGAATTTCCATGAGTATTTAACCATTACATTTTTTTTAAACTAACAAATGGCTAAAATGTTTTCCATTCAATCAAATGGTATTTTAGAAATTGTGGTCTACACAAAGGATGTCTCTTGCTGGGCAGAGTAATATAATACATTCTGTGTGGAGTAGGAAACTTTAATGATATATGCAGTTTTGTTATTAAAACTGAGTTATATATTTTGCTCTGCTCTGGAAAATTGTGACCCAGTATAACATATCTTCACATTGTTTATAACTTGAGGAAGATCAACATTTTGGGTTCCCAGTTCACACAGTAGGAATTACATTTGTTTTGGCCAAATATAATTTATATAACTGCAAGGAACAATAAAACATGAACTCTACAGTGTTTTCTTACCTAAAAATAATATAGACCTTGTAAAATTGAAGAGATTATTATTATAAAGGAAAAGACAGTAACTTAAAAGGCTGAAGCTCATTTTACAACACTCTTTAATGCCTGTGCAAATAGGCAGACACCTGTGTCCTCATTTTCCTTGACCCTAGCCACAGGACTGAGATTCCACATAGTAATAAATAACCTTGCAAATAAAACTTTGAAATATAATTTGCTTGAACAAGCCCAGTTCATCTATGTTGAAAAGTCATTTTCAAAGTGACTTCTTAAAATGACTCAGTATTCTTTATTCCCATGCCTACAAAGATCTTTTGTATGTGATGAAACATCTGGTCCATCTTGTTAATAAGGCCTCAGGTAGTAAAGGGACTATTCTGAATTTGGAGTTGGGAATTGAATGAATGAATGAAAGAATTGATTAATCAATCATCATCCAATCAATAATTAGGCATTTATCTTTAAGGTCAACTAGCCTATGCAAAATTGACTCTCCTACTTCAGTACCATAATATAAAATGTGATCCTATTCTCAAAAATGTGGGAGTGATAAGGGAGAAGAGTGAAACTTCCTTTGAGGGGATATGTGCAAGAGTCATACTGAACACATATTGTAAAACTGCTGAATACAAAATCGATCAGACAACTAGAAAAAATATTGACATTTTGTTGGCAAGTACTGTGTTCAAGGAACTGGTCAGTGGTATCTTATTTAATATGTAAAGTCTAGACAATTCCATGAAGTTGGCAGAATTATCTTACATGTGAAGAAACTAGGGTCATAAATTTTAAGTGACATCTTCCAAATCACATAGCCAAGTATGTGGTAGAGTTGACCCTGGACCACAAGTCTTCTGATTCTACATACTGCACTCCTGCCACTACAGCACTTGAGAATCTGCTGAGTGAAGACGACAGGCTAGTACAGTCACAGCATAATCAGATGGCAGATGGGCCTAGCATTCCTACTAGATGACACCTATCTATTCATGCAATTCTTACTTTTCCTCAGGCTCAAAACTTTTTCACTTACAGAGCAGATTTTTCTGCTCTGTGATTTATTTAGATTTCAAATTCTTCAGATTCCCAGTGTAATTTTTGACCTGGTCTTTTAAGTCTTAATGTCTATTTTAAACTGGGATTTGAATTATATTTAATAGTATTAGGGTTTCTAACTGCATTGATTTTCTTCTGAAGCAATCCATTCTTAATACTTAGAGAGAGAATCCTAAGGAATCGTAAATGGTGCAGACTTGTTTTTCAGGAGCCAACATGACAGTCCATTTTCCTTTAAAAAAAAAAAAAAAGTTTGCAGCCTCTCCAGGCACTGAATCATCTGGCTTGGGGCCAGGCACTAGAGGGTGCTTTAGAAATATTATTTGATGATGAACTCGGATGTTGTCCACTTGCTTTTCAGAAATCATTCCTGTAAATCACGGCTTTGAAAACTTGTCAGCATTTTGCTCTTTCTTTTGTGGATTCCTTCAAAGGGAGAAGGAATGCCTGAAAAGTAAACATTAAACAGCCATAACTGCATCCCAAGGAGTGCGGAATAAAAAAAATTATAGATACTTATAGATATATAAATATTTCTGTGAGATAAAAAGAGAACCCTGTGGATAACTCACAAAGAGCCTACTGGAACTTTATCAGTCGACTGGGCTTTGTCAGCATAAAGCAGGTTTGTGAGGGGGGCCAGGGCAACATGTGTTTCTCCCTGTTCCATACCCTGCTTTTCTGGAAGCTTGCTGTAAGCATAACACCTCACATTTGTATGACTTCTTTTTTTTTTGTCACACTTTTACATATATTATCTCTCAAGTGATATTCACAAAACCTGTATAGTAAGCATTACTATTCCTATTCTCTAGATGAAAAAAACAAAACAAAACTGAGGTTTAATGAGGATAACTATTTCACTCAGATCTATAAGGTTAAGTGGCAGAATCAGATTTTAATTATAAGACTTTTTCCTAGTATATAGGGCAGCAACCCCATTCTTCGTTTTTTATATAGTTAACATAACCATATTGCTTCCCTTCTTCCTTCAGACTTTGTCACCATATGTATCTTTCCTTGTTAATGTCTTCAAATAAAATCCATAAACACCAAAAACCAGAGGGCATGAAATATAAAATAAGGAAACACACACCTCCTTTGCTGTTGGAAAAAGAAAAAGCATAACCTGGTAGGGGAGCTAAAAATGTCCTGTAGAGACGATAGTATGAAGCGCCATGAAGCAGAGCCGTGAGTAAGGCGTGGTGTGTGGAAGAACCTTTCCAATTAGGAAGGACTCTAATTGGAAAGGTAAGGAAGGGTTTCTTAGGAGAACAATACCTTTCTTTACGTCTTGAAAGACAGCAAGATTCCAAAAGAGCACCCTAAGCTTTGGAAATAGTAAAGACAAAGTCGGCAAAGCTCAGGGCATTTGCAGAAAACAATATTCAGCTTATTGGAGGATCGCTTCCTGAGAAGAGGCTGGCAAACAAGGTTTTAACCAGGTCTAGAGCAGCTCTGTCCGAGATCAGGGAAATGTTTTCTTTCCTTTTTTTTTCTTTAAAGTCTTTATTGAATTTGTTACAATACTGCTTCTGTTTTATGTTTTGTCTTTTGGGCTGTAAGGCATGGGGGAGCTCAGCTCCCCGACCAGGGATTGAACCCGCACCTCCTGAACCGGAAGGCAAAGTCTTAACCACTGGACCTCCAAGGAAGTCCCAGGGAAATGTTTCCTAATAGGCACTGTCCGAAGCAGTAGCCATGGGCCACATGTGGCTACTGAGCGCTTGAAAAGTGGTTGGTGTGACTAAGAAACTGAAAACTTTGTTTAATTTACTTTTATTTTTAATATAAAATCACATGTGACTAGAGCCCACCATTTTAGACAGAGCGATTCTAGGGGCCTTGGATGATTGATAGACTGAGGCAATCACAGAATTCTACGGTTACCCGGGGGGAAACAGATACTTGCTGACTGAGGAGAGAAATGAACTGAGAGACTTGGGAGAGGCTGGGATAAGAAAAATAAGGGCTGGAAGAATGGCAACTTGGGATAAAAGGAGACATCCGGTTATAATCGCTGAGTCTGTGAACCACGGGATTCAAAATGCAAGTGCTTGCACTCATTTGTGTACGAAAAGTTTGTTCTTCACCAAATTTATGAACTCCTCCAATGTCAGAATGATGTCCATTCTTTCATCTCTCAATATCTAGTAGCCAGCCCCATGTCTTCCACAAAATATGTTGTGCATATGACTATTCTGACAAATTCAACCACAGTTGTGCATTTATATGTTACAGTTAAATTAAAATGTCCATTATCTAAACCGGACGGAACTAATGAGTGGACATAGTTAATTTTCAGTCATTTAAACACAACATATGTAACCAGGTAAGTCTTAAAAAAATGTATTGGCTTGTGTGTGTGTGTGTTAGTTTCACCCAAATCTTTCTCTGTCTCTAAAGTACCTGGAATTTAAAAACTCCAGTGTGGTTTATCAGACACATTATCTGTATTCTTTTAAACCCAGAAGAAATAATATTCTTGTTTCAGCTTTATTAGATTCTTAAATTATGGATAAGGTACTCTGTAAACTAGCTAGTGCCCACTCCTCATTCTAAGGCTGAAAGGATTATTAAAACCAAAACAGAAAACTGGGTTCCCCCAGACTGTAAGGAATTGATCTCCCAAGATTTAAGATCACGGTATCAAAACCACCAGTAAACACTGGTACTGAACTCAGTAAATGGTTTTCCTGCAATACTTCGCAGAAAAGCATAAAGCCCCAGCAGTAACAGCAGTGCGACACCTTATCCCCACTCCCACAAGCTGAGCTGCTAATTATTTTTTTTTTACCTGCAAATGGACTCATCATCTGGATTCCTTCTGAAATAAGTCTTAAACATCTTTGTACTGGTGAATTCTCACGTGTGGGTGTCTTGGGGATGAATGGGCACCAAGCAGCCTTCCATGAACTGTGTTACAGGCCAACGTTTACCAGATGACCTGGCCTCTCTTCTTTTACCTAAGGATATGAGAAAAATATGCAGGATTTAGGAAGGAAGGATTGGGACGTCAGTTAGTTTTTCCTTAACATTTATTCAAATTGTACCTTGGCTAACCACACCTAATGCAGATGGAGTAGGTTTATCCATTTCTCCAAGCAAAAGCTATCTGTGTTCTAACTCCCCAAAGGTCTTACTTTGGAGATATTTTTTGCAATTCATCAATAACCTCCGTGGCTCTTGCCAAAATCATCCCCTCTCCCCGTTTTTTAGACCTGAAGGGAAAGTGAAGATAAGCTCAACAGCCACTGGCGTATCTTGGAGATGGAACTCTAGAGAGCTGTACTCCTATGTCTTCTTTGCTCACAACAGTGAAAATCTTCAAATTTCTAGAGATACTGTTTTCTAACATCTTAATCTCATCCAAATTGTATAACATTTCTTTGAAATAATGGCAGCAGGACTTTGAAGGGGTTTTAGTTCTGAATCCTCAGTTATGATTTTATTGTTTGAGTTTCCTCACCAAAAAAAATAAATAAAAGCCATGATGTGGAATTGTATCTTTTTCTATGTATTACCTGAATTCAGGCAACTGACTATATAAACCTAAGGAGAACAGTGAAGTTATCAATAGCAATGTTAGTCAATGCTGAAATTGTTCCTCCAATCACAGAATCCTGAGATCTTAAAACTGAAAACTGTAAAGAAGCCACTTTAAATCATTCTTACAAATGACTGTACTATTGCAAGTATTAAATGCCTGGGAGCAGAAATGGGAAGAATGCTCGTTCACGTTCTGCTCTTCTTTTTTTCTTTCTTTCCAAATGTCCAAGTAGCCAAGTCTCTGGTGTGTATCAGAGGAACAGGCAATTTTCAGAGTGAAGTCAACTGAAAAGTATGTAGATGGCAGTGTAAATGTTAGGAGAGTTTGGAGGAAAGTATGCCAACTATGTGCTGTTTTTTGCTACAGTAAGTATAGAACCATCTCTTCAATGCCATGGGCAAGATCCTTGCCAAGTGGAATACCCTATTTATAACCCTATCAAGAAGAGGAAATAGTGCCAGGAACAAGATAAAACTATTAGCTGTATTAACAAAAATACTTAAAAGCATGTTTGTATTTGAAAATAAATGTTAGTGGTTAAGCAAAAAAATATAAGTAGTTGTAGATCTGGGTGTTGAAACCTGTTGCAAGACCATTAATTAGTCATCATCTTATCTTCACTGCCATATCTCTGCCAACTTGCCTGTTTGAAGTCATAAAATGGAACTCATAAATGGACTCTTTGGGAGATATGGGGAAATAAACAATTCCCCCTATTCGGTAAATAGTTAAGAAATCTCCCTGGGCTCACATGTTTTTTTCCCTCTTGTTGGCACTGTTGATTCAGTGCCCATCTGGGACGTCCTCCCAATCTGACGTGAAGCTGCCAATCTTTCCAATGCCAAGTATGTAGGCTGCAATCCCAGAAGTGGGAAAAATAGACCAAGTCCAAGGGCGTGCCATCGAGTGTGCAGACTCTGGTCACAAGGGTGTCACACTGGGAGGGGCCTGGCAACTAGCCTGCGCCGGCCAACATCAAGACACGGGCCAGGAGCTGCCACCCCATGTCCTTCCCTCCTCCCCATTACCCTGGGGAGCAGCGTGTTGAATAAGCAAGTGGCTGAGGGAATGGCTGGATTGGTGCCAGGGTCAGCTTCTTCGGCCTTCCTGTTGTATCAGTGAAACTTGGTATATGCCATACTGTCCTCCTCTATAAGGCAAGCATCAAGATACAGTTTCCTTTTCCTTCCTTTGTTCTTTCACTTTCTCTTCTCCACCTACTCACCTAACCTGGTAGAGTGCAAAGGCCATAGGATATGGGATCAGACAAAATCAGGGTTATATCTAGCTCTTTTACTAGCTCTGTGTCTCTGAAGGTAAAACAAAACAAAACATTTAACTCATCTAAGCCTCAACTTATTTTCCACTAATGGTGCCTACCTTGCTGGTTTGCTGTGAGGTTTAGCAGAGGTGATGTAAGAGCCTAGCACCGGTTCTGGAACATGATAGGCAATAAATATTAACTTGCCACAGCTAGAGGCACTACATTAGACTACGGCTATGCCAATTGATTAATGATTTATTCATCTTGTTATTTACTAATCTAATTCATTTATCATTAGATAGTGATACAGAATACTACCCTACGTGTCTACTTATTAAAATAATTATTAACCCTCTATCAAGTTATATGATAATTTTATAAACAATTATATATATTAAGATATAATTGCCGGACTTCCCTGGTGGCGCAGCAGTTAAGTATCTGCCTGCCAATACAGGGGACACGGGTTCGAGCCCTGGTCCGGGAAGATCCCACATGCCGCAGGGAAACTAAACCTGTGCGCGACAACTACTGAGCCTGCACTCTAGGGCCCATGCTCCGCAACAAGAGAAGCCACTGCAATGAGAAGCCCTCACACCGCAACGAAGAGCAGCCCCCGCGCGCTGCAACTAGAGAAAGCCCGCGCAGAGAGACAAGGACCCAACGCAGCCAAATAAAAAGATATAATTGCCACACTTATATATTATTATATTTTATATTATATATTATAATATATAATACATTATATATTATGTATTATTATATGAGTCTGTATCATGTATATGCCCTATATCATTACATGATATATAAATTTATATAAACATTACATATATCACACATATTGTGTATTATAGATCATTACATATTATTATATTATGGTTCATATTATATGAGTGTATCATTTATATGCCCTGTATCATGTTTTATATATCATATTTATACATATTATGTTTATATTAATTGTATATATTTATGTCATTTTATCATTTCATTAAATAATATAAGAATGATACAATAATTATATTAGTATATTATACATAGTATAATGTGTATTATGTTGTAATATAGATAATTTGATTATATGATTATTAACATTTAAAAATCAAATTTTAATAATATTCTGTTTATGCTATGACATAAGCATAAATGTAAACATACATACACGCATGTAATTATTTAATCATCCCCAGTGTACTTGGGCCACAGTTCTCATGGTTAAGAACCGCCACAAGGAGAGGTAGTAAAATACCAGGGAAAGACCATGTGTCTCAGACTAAAAAAAGCTTAAATCCAGTCCATACGAGGTGTGCGAATCTGGGCATGCCAGTTCACCTCCCTGAGTCCCTATTTCCTTACTCTGTTAGAAAGAAGGGGGCGGGAAACTTGCAGACTTAAATCGAAATAATATATGAACAGTAAACAACACAACTACCAGCACATAAGTAATCAATAAATGAAGGATAGCATTATTCATATTATTGTTCAAGTTAATAATTATCATTGTTTTCAATGTAAGTCTTAGAAATACACTCAAGAAGCAGCCCTTTACCTATGGGGACTTCTCCTTGCAGAGCTGGCTACTGCGATGTCTGTTTTGCTTGGGCCTCATTTGGAGAGCAGGGCCAGTTATCCTCACTTTCTAGTCGTTGGAGAATATTCAAACTGATATCCCTTGTGGGATAAGATCTTGGGGACAAATATTTCTTGTATTTCAAGGTTTCTTAAATTTCACATGTGATTTAAAAAGCAAATAAGCCCCTTAATTGCTTCGTTAAGCTAGTCAACACTAATTAAGAAAAGTCAGGAGGAAAAATATTAGAAACTGCTGTGCTTGATTTTTAGCCTTCTCTCCTTCTTCCAGAATATGTCTTGCTCTGCTGAGGAAGGGGAGTTGATGATTTTCCATGATAGGACCCACTGTGACCTCCTCAGTTCTGAGTTTGAAATTAAGCTCTAGTCTTTTGGGCTTCAACTCTGTTTATTACTGGTGAAACATGATTTCCCAACGCCATGAAAAAATGCCTAAAATGCCTTGCAAAGTAGCGCAGGGGGTAATCTGAACCATTTTGTTGAGCTAGACTTCAACAAGCTTGAAACATCAGTTTCTTCTCCTTCAGCACAGTCCAGGAGCTTAAGAACAGGGGCGCAGGGGTCACAGGAGGGGGCTTAGAGTGGGAGATGATTTGCATGTGAATATGTGAGTGTGTGCACATGTGTCCTCACATGTGTGCATTCGCAAGCACTGTGCACCTTTGTGCACATATGTGGTGGGGATGGGTGGGAAGGAGATTTACTTGTCTGCAAGACAACTAGAACCTGAATTCTGCCTTTTGCTCTTGTTCAAACTTTGGGAGAGTTATTCCTCGTAGCTCTGCTGAAGTTTATGAGAAAAGTAAGTTTTTGTTGTAGATTTTCCTAGAGCTAACTAGGCCATCTCCCTGGTTACATCAGCTCCCTTGGAATCTCTCAGATCCAGAGAGAACGATAAAGTAAATCCGGCAACCTGCCTTAACTCTCCTTTATGGTAGTGAATAGCTTCTATGTATTGAGCACTTCCTGTGTACCAGACTCGGTTTAGGTATGTTATAACCATAGCCATAATTCTCTCAGTAACTCCTTGAGGTACATCTGTTATTCCCATTTAATTGATGAAGCTACCAGGGCTAAGAGAAATAAAGAAAAGGGCTCATGGCCTCAGAGTTGGTAGGTGGCTGAGCAGGAATTAGAACCCCAAGCTGCCTACTGCAAAACCAATGTGATTTACTCCTCACCCGGTCATTCAAAAGGCTCTATTATCATGATCCTCTGAGTTAAACCAGCAATTCTTCTGGTCCCAAATGAGAAGAATCAGAGTCCCTCCTTACTCTGAAAATGCTACTTAGAACAGTGCCTCTGCTCAGTGTATGAACAACCCCTACAGCTCCAAAGCTGGCTTTCCCCCAAAGCCTTCAGGACCTTGGTGCATGTGGAACCCTTCAGAGGAATTTGGGCTGCTTATGGGAATCTTCTAGAAGAGCAGAAAGTGTGAAGGACTCAGGGATTAGAAGCAGAAAGCATTTTGCCCACCTTCTCACTTGTATGAAGGAGATCAGGCCTGAATTATTTAGGGTTGTAGGTGATTTCCCCTAGATGCAGCAGCTCTCATGGACAGC